GGGTGTACCATGACTCTTGCCCTGTGACAGCTGAGTTGGCTTCAGCATCCCCACAACCTTAATAAGGAGAAGTGGATATAATTTAAATAAATTGCATTTTGTTTTTATTCTTTCACATCTCATTTTTGTTTTTAATGTATTTTAACTGTAATAACCTTTATTCAAAATATTTCTTGTGGTACTGATTGGTTGCTGACATACTCAGTGTATCACAGGACAGGCACACACACTGGACACACAACATTTTGTTAATAGTGTATTACGTTTTCAGAATAAGTGACTAAAGCTAATGAAACTTATTACCTGTCTTTTCTACAGGTTTGAACAGCAGGAGACACTCAGCATTTGACCACACTGAGGTGACTTATCTCAGTTTGTTTTTTCTCTATGTCATCTTTTAAAAATCTGTACGAGACTGGAAAGAAAATGGTGTGGTCCTGGGTCATTTTGGCCCAGCGGTTTAAGCTTCCTGTGCTTTTTGTCATTTTTTGCATTACGTTAAGGTTGGGTTTCCTACGTCACTCTGTTCAGTATTCTCCCTGGGTGTCTGCATTTACATGGTTGTGTGAGTTCTTGTGACATCTTGTTTTCCCCAGCCTATCAGCCTGTCTGCCTCTCTCCCTCATGCTCCTCATGTTCTCTCTCCCTCTAGTTTAGTTTATATTTTTATATTTTATAGTTTTGTATCGTTTTCCCTCGAGTCAGCAATGAAGCTGCATTTTGAGTTCGCCCCCATGTGTTGCGAATCCTGCATTTTGGGTCCAATCTCCTGCCTGCCACAGAGCAATTCATGACAGAAAAGAAAAACAAAAAGTGATTTCATGGTTTACAAAAAGTTCATGATTTTCAATTTAAATTGGTAAATGCTGACCTAATAGGAAAATGTTAAAACAATATTTCATTCCAGTTTCAATCAGATCAAGGCGATCGTGGCTCAAAGAGTTGGCAGTTCGTCTGTATAACTGTATATCTCAGATTTCTGTATAGTTTTTTATTTCATATTTATATCCTGTTCATAGCCTGTACATACTTATAGTTATAGAATATTCATAACATACTTCATACCGTGTACATTTTAACATACCATAATAGACCAATTTCTGTAATATACTCACATATCTATATTATTGCTAATATATATTGTAATATATCTATATCATGGCTAAAGCACTTCTGGATGGATGCAAACTGCATTTCGTTGCCCTGT